AATTCGACGTCTAACGCTATACATCTCAGGCTTCAACAAAAATTGCTTCACATCGATTAAAGCTTGTGCATGGTATCGTTAACGTTTCTTGTTTCTTCTATTTTCTTTTCTTTTTTCGCTTCCTCCATTTTCTTTTATAAGTATTGTTTTAATCAACTCGAGAAACGCGCGATGGGGTTCATCTTCGATAACGAGTTGAATTTTTCTCGTAGATCCATTATTTTCTTCGATATCCTCTAAATTCTTGATCATGATATCGATGAAATTAGATACGACCATCGATGTTACTTTTATTCCTCGTCAATGGTAGGTTGAACCTGTCGCACATCCTTTAGGATCCTGTGTTCCTGATTTTGATCATCCTGTTCCTCTAGAGTCGTGTGAGGACCGTGCAACGGTGATCGTTGCACGGTTGCTTCCTCTCAGACTTTACTCTCGGGACCGTCTGTCGTGTGCTTGAAGGAATTGCGAATTTTACTGAGGTGAAGGGCAGCAAGGTGACCATAGCTTTTGTTATACCATTCTGGAGTGCGTCCTCTGCAAAAAAAAAGAAGATAGACGTTAGTAAGAAGAAATTGAATAAAAATTCTCGATATATATATAAATGGAATGAAAGCGAAATAAAAAAGATATATACTTTGTATCCACTCTGGAAAGGTGCATGATCCGTGATTTACCACTACCGCAAGGTTCGATGAGATAGCGCGATGCTAAAACAATACCACGCGTTCCACCAAGCATAACAGGAGCATCCGGATGTTCCACGGACGTTTCTACGATGACGCAGGCCCCTTTGGGGAGATCGTTACGCCAGGATCTGCATGCAATGTTATGTAATGCAACGTTACATAATTTACAACAATCGATCCTCCCCCTCTTTTACAACAATAACTCTTTATAAATCAATTTCGCTATTTGTCACGTTCCATTCCTGTTGAGAATAAATTCAAAACACACCTTAGCACACAATAATCCCTGGCAGGAAGAGGACTCATGTTCCCAGTGGCGTATTGAAAGACCTCCACGTTGGTGTCCAGCTTGGCGACCAATCTATACTTCAAAAGCTGAGGATCCCAGATATGCCTCTCCCTCAGTACACGATGAAGAAGCTCGTTCGGTGGAGCTTCAACCTCAGTCGACACTCGCCACAGTCGAAGTGGATGTCCGTCACCTACTTTCTTGTACGCCATCTCTACCGTACTGTCGGCTGGATTGTTCACGGTGACCCATCCCCGACTTCTGCGAAAAGAAAGGAAAAGAATTAATGTTTCTTCGTAAACAATTCAGAGATACGTTCGAGTATAATATACATACTTCTCACGCGCTTCTTTCAACAAAGCCGTGGTACACGCGTAAAGGTATCCTCTCCAATCTTGCTTCAATTCGGATCCCAATTCCTCCAAGGCGACCGGCACGCTTTCTTCCATATAATTAAAATGACACTGCATCAACATATCCGAAGAAACCTGGCTCAACCAAGAGAAAAAAGAATTAACTCGTATTTCCTTTTCGATTCGCGAGGATATATATATATATATCTCGAATTCGAATTTGATCACAATCGCCGATTCGAGACGACGACGGATGAACGACTCCTCTCGAACGACCTGGACGTTCGGCATCGAGCCACTCACCATGAATAATTCACGATGCATCTTGACCAGATACAGAAGACAGTCGTGAGCGGCTTTGTTTTCCGACAGTTCCCTCTGATCGGGAATGCCCACGGTCTTTCTCCTACGTGGCGATACGCTGCTCGACCTGTTGGTCACGTTCGTGTTACTGTGGTTGAAGTGGAACAGGCTCGGTGCCAGGCACACGGCCAGGTTCGAGGCTGTCATTTGGTTGTAGGGAGCGTTGCTCGCTACGTGGTTCAAGAAATCGAGCAGAGTCTCCAACGCCTCCCTATGCTCGTCTGGCAGAAGAAGGAGCACGCATTGCACAGCGTCCGGTCGCAGCTTAACAGGTACGTCTGCAACAATTATCACCTGTAATTAACTCCCGTCCACTTGCCGATAAATCATCGATCGATCGGTCCCAAGACGATACCAAAACGAATGCGAAGAATATTCTAGCTACTCACGTTGGAATATAGCGATGAAGGTCTCGGACAATTTGTTGGTTAACAGAGCTTCCGGTAATTCCCTGAAATATTGCTTCACGAGATCGGCCACGTCGAACGCCTGCTGGCCATCGAAATTGATGTTATCCCCCAAAGTCTCGGTCATCATTTTCAATTTCTGTATCCTCGACTTGACCCCGCTCTTCCTGAAGATCCCAACCTGGTCGAGGGCGTTCGCTCTCAGCCATCTGAGCGCTATTTGAATACACTTTGGCAAGGCCTGGCCGGTTCTCTGCAGGGACAACAGCAACGGTACCCCAAACACCGTCTTGTCCTTGTAATCGGGGGTCTTTATCTTCCTGATGAACTTGGGCAGCTCCCAGTTCCATCCGGTACGATGAGTCGGGCAATATCGTTCCATGCAAGCGGTCAGCTTTAACAGAGCCAACTTCCTCAGTACCAACAGTTGGCCGCACGACATCGAGGCCATGGCTCGTGGGCACAGGGGATCGAGCGGCTCCGGGTACAGGGATCCCCTCTGGAAACTGTGCCACCTGACAACGGTACCCTTGTGCCTCGGCGAATCCTCCTCCTGATCCGAATCACGACTGGCAACCGTCGAACTGCTCTCCTGACTTCCGGCCAGCTCCGAACTCCTCGATCTCGATTTCTCTCTGTAGACGGTCACCTCTTTGGACAAAGGTTTCCCCTCCCTGTAAGAATCGTCGCGATGCCTGAAACTCTTGTGCATCTTATCCTCCCTCTTCAAAGCGGCCACCTTGTCCTCCTTGTACCTCTCCTGATTCTGGCCCTGGGACAACTTGTCCCTGTACCTCTGCGACTCCTTCCCAAGATTCAGGCTACCTCCGCGGCTATTTATGGGAGTTTTGGTCGGCGAATCCTTGGGGCTTTGGGGATGGGCGGTCACGTATTCCAACACTTTAGCGTGGTTACTGTTCGCGTCTCTGAAGTACCTGTGCCGCCAATTGGTAGGCTGGCACTCGGAGTCGCTGAGCGCCCCTTGGTCCTCCCTGCCCCGATGCAGGAACCTTCTCGCCCGGTTCATCTTCGTCCG